GGCTCCCGCTGATCCTGGGGCTGTGAGGCCTCATGGCTCCTCTGATCCTGGGCTGTGAGGCCTCATGGCTCCGCTGATCCCGGGGCGTGAGGCTTGCTGCTCGGCTGGCTTCGGGTACTTTTGGTGATCATTTTTTGCAATATATACAAACTAGAGGCCCGATTCACAAAATTCGTGCAAGAGGAGGCCGCCCTTCCCCCGGCTGCTGGCGCCGGCTTCCCTCTGGCCGCTGGGACCCAGGCTTCCCTTTCAGCCCCAGCTTCATCTGGAAGGTCGCCTGGAAGGACGTCTGGTCTAATTAGCATATTGCACTTTTATTATTATAGATATCAAATCATTATGCTGTATACCTGACATTAATATATGTCAATTATATCTCAATTTAAAAATAAATAATTTAATCTCTTTCTCATCCCTTATAACACTCTCACTAATTAGCTATCAGGTTGTTTTAATTTTACCTGATAAACAATGAATACTAATTGAACAGTTTTTATCTCCTAAAAATCATTTTGGTTAACTAATATAGTCCTTTCAGTAGTAAACCTGTTTGAGATGGGATAAATAAGAGTAGGTACAAAGAAACTTACTTTTTATGGTCACACATGTAAGCAGAAATTGTTTTTCAAGAGTCCGCTCTCCTGAGTGTGTTACTATGTATTCCCATCTGCATTATTTTTCTAGTTCATAAGCTACTTCAGTAGTACATGCTTTTCCCACATGTTTCCTGGAGTGATGCAGTAGCCTACAGTCTAACATTTGTCCACTCTAGGTACACATCTGTCCATCCTATCCAATAAAAGACAAAAAGGGTAATTGACTGTACCTTCGCTACACTTCCCATTGGCTAATCAGGGTGATATGCAAATTAACTGCCAACAAAGATGGGAGGGCAGTTAAGGGTGACCAGGTTAGCAGGGGATTGCAATTGGGGGTGACTGGGCCAGCAGGGGAGGGCAGTTGGGGGCAACCGGGCCAGCACTGGAGGACAGTTGGGGGTGATTGTGCCAGCAGGGGAGCATTTAGGCATAGATCAGGCTGATAGGGGAGTGGTTAGGGGGTGATCATGCAGGCAGGGAAAAGCAGTTAGGGGCAATCAGGCAGGCAGAAAGGCAGGCGAATGGTTAGAAGTCAGTGGTCCCGGATTGTGAGTGGGTTGTCCAACTGCCGATTTAGGCCCGATCTCATGGGCCTAAACTGGCAGCCGGACATCCCCTGAGGGTCCCAGATTGGAGAGGGTGCAGGCTGGGGCTGAGGGACAGCGCCTCTCCCTCCCCCCCCCGCCCAGTGCACGAATTTCATGCACCGGGCCTCTAGTCCTATCTAATAAAAGAGAAACATGGTAATTAGCCATATGGCCGCTACCCTTCCCATTGACTAATCAGTGAGATATGCAAATTAACTGCCAACCAAGATGGCGGCCGGCAGCCAGGCAGCTGACGCGAACAGGGAGGCTTGTTTGCTCCAGTGACGGAGGAAGCCAGGTTCCCCGCCTGCCTTGCCGGCCTCTCAGCTGCTCTCTAAGAAACATTGTAACAAATATAGAAGCTAAACCAAACCCCAGAAACCTGCTTTAGTCAGCCAGGCTTCAGCCAGCAGGACCGCAACATTGTTTCAAATACAGAAGGTAAACAAAGGCCAGATACCTGCTTTCAGCAGCTGAGGTCTCATAGCTGGAGTCGAGCCTCAGAGCTAAAGCTGGCCCAGAATTAAAAAAAAAAGAAAAAAAGGAGCGGTTGGGAGCTTCAGTCACCCGCCAGCCTGAAAACGGCCCTCAGCCCCTCACCCAGGCTGGCCAGGCACCCCAGTGGGGACCCCCACCCTGAAGGGTGTGTGACCAGCTGCAAACAGCCATCAGCCCCTCACCCAGGCTGGCCAGGCACCCCAGTGGGGACCCCCACCCTGATCCAGGACACACTTCAGGGCAAACCAGCCGGCCCCCACCCATGCACCAGGCCTCTATCCTATATAGTAAAAGGGTAATATGCCTCCCAGCACTGGGATCAGCGGAGCAGCGAGGCCTCCCGGCACCGGGATCAGCGTGACAGGGGGCAGCGCCCAAACCTCCTGATCGCCCTGCGGCTCTGTTCGTGACAGGGGAAGGTGCCCCAACCCCCTGATCAGCCCTGCTCTGTGCCTGATAGGGGGGAGCTCCCCAACCCCCTGACGGCCTGCGGCTCTGTGTGTGACAGGGGCGGTGCCCCAACTCCC